CACTTGATTCGATGCTTGTTCACAATCAAGTGCTAAATAGAGTGCAGTGTTACTGGATGATACTCCAATGAATTATGCCTTGAGTGCACTCGATTTGATGCTTGTTCACAATCAAGTGCTAAATAGAGTGCAGTGTTATTGGATGATACTCCAATGAATTATGCCTCGAGTGCACTCGATTCTATTCTTGTTCACAGCCAAGTGCTAAATAGAGTGCAGTGTTATTGGAATATTAGTCGTATGTTTACTAAATTATGAAGTTAATTAATTTAGTAGGTTGGTTTAAAAGACTTTTCCGTGTTTTGCTTTGTTGCCTATTATCTTGAAAATCACAGAAACTTTAAAAGCGAAAATGGTCGGCAAGACAAGATCTTCAAATAAGTCATTTTGCCGAAATTTCAGTTATCTCCTCATTTAAATGACAATTTTCTTTTAAATTTATCTTTTGTTTTAATGTCATAAAGTAAGAAAATATAATGCTGTAAATTCAGAAACTATTGCATTCAACTATTATTGTGATTTTTGGAGAATGGGCATCAATGCGAGATTAATTATTGCGATTTCCGGAACAGCTGCATACAAATATATGCGTGAGATATCAGAACGCGAGTTAATATTATTGCGATACTCACTCAGCCGCATTAGTCGCATTAATGAAAACCTCGCAATAATTTCTAGTAGATAGAAAGCTTATACAGCAAAAATGATCCACCAGGATCTACAAAAAGTCGATAATGCTGAAATCGTTGTGTTGCTTACCTTTTGTAATTGTTGGTGCTCTTTGACAAATTAAAGCTTATGTGTATTAAAATCTCAAACGTTTTTGAAGAAGATCATTTTACTACTGATGATAAAGCTGTGTTTTCTAAAAAAAACGTCTGATGTTTTTGTTTTGTTTTTTTAATTTTCTTCCAAACTGTATGAGTTGCTGAGTTATTCAGTTATACCGTATGAGTTTCTGTGTTATTTGTCAAAACAATTTAAGTTGATGTGTTCTTCATGTACACCGTATGAGTTGCTGCGTTCTTCGTGTAAACCGTATGATTTGCTTGTGTTCATCTCATGAGTTGCTGTGTTCTCCATGCAAACCTTATATGAGTTTCTTTTTCTTGATGTTACCGTATGAGTTGCTGTATTTTTCAGCTAAACCGTATGATTTGCTTGTGTTCATCGTGTAACCATATGAGTTGCTGTGTTCTCCAGCTTAACCGTCTGAGTTGCTGTGTTCTTCACCTTAACCGTATGATTTGCTGTGTTTTTCAGCTAAATCGTGTGAGTTGATGTGCTTTTCAGCTAAATCGTATGATTTGCTGTGTTCTTCGGCTAAATCGTGCGTGTTGCTGTGCGTTTCAGGTAAATCGTATGATTTGCTTGTGTTCATTGTGTAACCGTATGAGTTGCTATGTTCTTCAGCTTAACCGTATGAGTTGCTGTGTTCTTCAGTTTAACCGTATGAGTTGTTGTGTTCTTCAGTTTAACCGTGTGAGTTGCTGTGTTCTTAAGCTTAACTGTTTGAGTTGCTTGTGTTCATCGTGTAACCATATAAGTTACTGTGTTCTTCAGTTTAACCGTGTGATCTGCTGTGTTCTCATGTATACCGTACGAGTTGCTGTGTTCTTCAGCTTAATCATATGAGTTGCGGTGTTCAGCGAAATCGTGTGAGTTGCTGTATTCTTCTGCTAAACCATGTGAGTTGCTGTGTTCTCATGTAAACCGTACGAGTTGCTGTGTTCTCCAGCTTAACCATATGAGTTGCGGTGTTCAGCTTAACCATGTAAGTTGCTGTGTTATTCAGCTAAACCGTATGAGTTGCTGTTTTCTTCAGCTTAACCGTATGAGTTGCTGTGTTTTTCAGCTAAACCGTATGAGTTGCTGTGTTTTTCGTCAATACTGTATAATTTGCTCTGTTCTTCATCTAAACCGTATGATTTGCTTTGTTTTTCGTCAATACTGTATGATTTCCTGTGTTCTTCAGCTAAACCGTATGCGTTGCTGTGTTTTTCTTCAATACTGTTTGATTTCCTGTGTTCTTCAGCTAAACCGTATGAGTTGTTGTGTTTTTCGTCGATACTGTATGAGTTGCTGTGTTCTTCAGCTAAACCGTATGAGTTGCTGTGTTTTTCATCAATACTGTATGAGTTGCTGTGTTCTTCAGCTTAACAGTTGATAATCCAATTGTTTCGTTTAAGAACTTTCGATGGTTTTGTTTATAAATACTGTTTTACAAGGGCTTATCTTTTGTAATTGATAGTGCTCTTTGACAAATTAAAGCTTTACTTATGTGTACATGTATTAATAAGAAATTATGCTATTCGGAAGGTAATCGACCGAGTTATTCTCAAACCAAATAACCTTGATGTTCCATCGACATTTCCGTTACGTAACAAACATCTGTCATTTACTTTAAATACTTTGTAAGTTAACACTCATAGATTTATCTTTGGCATACAAAAATTGCCAAATAATCCCTATATATTTTAATATTTTAAAACAAATCACAGCTCATATATGCTTCATATCTGACACATTTTCAGCTCAGTTTTTTGTTTTCCCCCCAACTTCCAGAGACCTGTTTTTCCATCCACAAATTGGTATTTAAGACATGCTTGTATCTCTAAAATAAGCACACGGACCTATTATCTTTATTTTTCACATTATTAAAAATGGCGTCATTTATTAATGGACAAATCCTTAATTTTGAATGTCAGCTGTGAACATACTTAAGGGATTGGTAACTTTATCTTAATTGGAGATTCGGAGGAATTACAATATTTAGGAAATATAAAAGTGTAGTTTCCAATATTTCAACACTTCAGACGGGGTAAGTGTCATCAAATTTCTTTTTACAGAGTTAAAAGGTTGAGAAATTGGGACCCCTTATCGATCAATCAACTGATGATGGCGACTGCAAAACTTGTAAAGTCATCATTTCAATTGTTTTATTCTTAGCCTTGCTAAATTATTGATTACGTTTAGAGGTTAACTTGTGTCACTGAAATCGCTTTAAACAGAATATACTCTCCCCTACAGTATCAGCTGAAATACGTGAACGTCATAAGCTGAGCAGAACATACTCTCTCCTAAAGTATCAGCTGAGATACGTGAGCGCTATAAGCTAATCAGAACATACTCTCCCTATAGTATCAGCTGATATACGTGAACGCTATAAGCTGAACAGAACATACTCTCCCTGTAGTATCAGCTGAAATACGTGAACGCTATAAGCTTAACAGAACATAATCTCTCCTAAAGTATCAGCTTATGTACCTGAACGCTATAAGCTGAGCAGAACATACTCTCTCCTATAGTATCAGCTGAGATACGTGAACGCTATAAGTTGAGTAGAACATACTCTCTCCTATAGCATCAGCTGAGATACGTGAACGCTATAAGCTGAGCAGAACATACTCTCCCTATAGTATCAGCTGAGATACATGAACGCTATAAGCTGAGCAGAACATACTCTCTCCTATAGTATCAGCTGAGATACTTGAGCGCTATAAGCTAATCAGAAGATACTCTCCCTATAGTATCAGCTGATATACGTGAACGCTATAAGCTGAGCAGAACATACTCTCTCCTATAGTATCAGCTGAGATACGTGAAAGATATTAGCTGAGCAGAACATACTCTTTTCTATAGTATCAGCTGAGAAACGTGAACGCTATAAGCTGAGCAGAACATATTATCTCCTGGAGAATCAACTGAGATACGTTAACGCTATAAGCTGAGCAGAAGATACTCTCTCCTATAGTATCAGCTGAGATAAGTTAAAACTATAAGCTGAGCAGAAGATACTCTATCCTACAATATCAGCTGAGATACGTGAACGCGATAAGCTGAGCAGACAATACTCTCCTATAGTATCAGCTGAGATACGTAAAAGCCATAAACTGACCAGAATATACTCTCGCCTTTAGTATCTGCTGATATACGTGAACGCTATACTCTGAGCAGAACATACTATCTCCTATAGTATCAGCTGATAAATGTGAAAGCCATTAATTGAGCAAAATATAGTCTGTCTTATAGTATCAACAGAGATACGTGAGCGCAATAAGCTGAACAAAACTCTCTCTCTCCTATAGTATAAACTATATCCTAAGATATCAGCTGAGATACGTGAACCTATAACCTGAGCAGAACATACTCGCCTATAGTATCAGCTGAGATACGTGAAAGCCATAAGCTGAGCAGAACATACTCTGTTATATAGTATCTGCGGAGATGCGTAAACGCCATATATCAAGCAGAACATTTTCGGTCCTATAGTTAGATACATGAACGCCATAAGTTGAGCAGAATATACTCTGACCTATATATCATCCGCTGAGATTCGTGAATACCATAAGCTGAGCAAAACATACTCTGTCCAATAGTAAAGGCTGAGTGAGATAAAAAAAAAAAATTAGCCCATGTTATTTGTGATTCTTAATAATAAGAAAATGTCTTTACAGGAACCTTTTTCTTAATAGAATTCCAGTAATTCCAGCAGGATATCTTTCCCGTTGTGTAATGAATTTGTTTTCTCAAATAAATTCTTTATATCTTTTAAAGATATACCTGCATGTGAGCCAATGCTCCGTGTTGAAGGCCGTACCTTGACCTATAATGGTTTACTTTTATAAATTGTTACTTGGATGGAGAGTTGTCTCATTGGCACTCATACCACATCTTCCTATATCTATTGAAGCTGTTTAATTGCATTAAGGATCATGTCTATATATTGACTATTGATTGATTGTTGGTGTTTAACGCCACTTTCAGCACTATAAGCTATATGGTGGCGCCCTGTTTTTCTTGGTGGAGGAAACTGGAGTGACCGGAAAGAACAACCGACCTTCAGCAGAAAAACGGGCAACCCTAGTTAATGAAGATGTAGTCGAACGCCCCTGCCACGTGCGGGGTTCGAACTCACAACCTCAATGTTAATAGGATAGTGATACAGTAAATAAACTACTTACACATCTCAGGCACCAATGTCCCTCTAAATATTGACACAGAAAACAACATTTTAATGATAAACAATTATAAAATTTATTTGTGATCTTAATGTTTGATTTTCGATTGATAAAGCAGTAATTACAATCATGAGTTTGCCAAATCACAGTGAATTCAATTCCTCATAAAATGAAAATGATAAATCATTAATAATTTTGTTTGGTGATATGTAGCAGTTAAGGGCAACAATGATACCATATCTAAAAACACCATTGGAAATTCAGAATTTGTCAACAGGTCAACAGGTCAACAGGTCAAGCTGTATTTCTTTTTACCATTCCTTCCCAATGTATAATTGAAGAAATTTCAAGGAACTATGGAACTCCATAAAGTACATCTGTACAGACCCGGTATTTCTAACCTTAATTATGCATTACGGTGGTTAGATTAACGCCTGAAGGTAAGGTCAATTCAAAAATTTACTCGGAATTAGCTCGGGATTTACCTATCTCGATAACATCAAGCACTTTCTCCCCCAGAGAGCACTGAATTATTGACGTGTTTTTATCGTAAAGAGTTTTCATGCCCTCGCGAGTAGCAGAGTCGATCATCCAGGATGGACTGAATTATTCTGGTAAGGTTATTTTGTTCGTCTGCTTAGTCTGCATGTTTCGTTAACATAACGTAAAATGAACATATATAATGAAAGAGATAATCCTATTAACATAATAAATTACTTAAAGTCACTAAATGTGTTCCTAATCTGGATGTGAGAACCAGTAGTGAAGCGTTCTAGCTCTTGATTAGATAATTCATTTTCATTGGTATTTTTAAACACGGTGTGTAAATTCTATAATTATGCACAAAAAGCATATTTATTCATTACATAAAATAGTCAGTGAAACAACAACTCAATTAACGACCTACAACTTGACAAGAACATGCAGACGGTGGACAGTTTCCTTTTTGGCACTCTACTGTACACCATTGATCAAGAGTCACAACTCCTGCCCAATAATTTATAGCCTTGCAAGTTATGGTACCGGGCCTTGCAGTTATAACCGGCCTTACAGTTTGTATTGGTCTTGCAGTTTGTACCGGTCTTGCGGTTTGTACCGGTCTTGCGGTTTGTACCGGTCTCGCAGTTTGTACGGGTGCATTTGTTACAAATGGTTTAAATGTTTGTATCGGACGGAATGTGATGCTTGGTTGTGTGACGATTTTTGTCGGCTGGATGACAACAGGTGCGTGAGTATGTCCGTTACCGCTGATAGCAATGTCAGCACATCCGTAAAACTCTTCTTGAGAACCACATCCTATACACCCTCGTCCGCTGGGATCTACACCATAGTTGTTCCCTACAAAACACAATAAACAATATACATAAATTCGCCGTTTCCTAATCTGATGCATTTTGGGTGATAATTATTCTCAATAGAGTACACCATTACATCGTGGTTGGTTTAAAATGTCCTAAACAATGGAAATTCAACCAATGACGTGACATTATTTTCATTTTGGGATAGTAACAAAAAATTACCCATAGTCCTTCAAATTGTTGCAAGCAGGTAAATTCTGCAAAGAGGATTGACAAAAACGAACTTGGGGAGATTGTAACCATTAAAAGAGTCTATTTTGTTTAGGTTGCAACTGGTCACCTACTAACCCCTAAAAGGTTGTTTTGCATGGGTTATTTAATGTGCATATCAGAAGACCGGAAGTGGCTGTTTTACAAGGGAAACCAATCAAGACAAAGTAAAACAAAGGCTAGTTCATAATACATCTATTGTCTGACTACTGTAATTACAGTCTGTATACCAGTACTTAATTGTGTGGAAAGAACGAACGGTAACGTTTGTCTGTTTTCTTGATGAACCATGACATGTTCTTCATTTTCTATTGAAACAGTAGTTATCACTTACCAATAAAATCACAGATGGGTAATAAAGGGGGACTGAAAATCCTGATTACCATTTAGTTTATATGTTTACAATACCATGGCTCACCTAACAAGCAAACTTTACTTGTATATAGAAATAAGAAGATGTGGTGTAAGTGCCAATGACACAACACTCCATCCAAGTCACAATGTGTAAAAAGTTAACAATTATAGGTCAAAGTACGGCCCTCTACACGGAGCCTGGCTCACACTGAACATCAAGCTATAAAGGGCCCCAAAATGACTAGTGTAAAACAATTCAAACAGGAAAACCAATTGCATGACGCACAAACTCTAACAGTACAGGGGCCTCGGTGGCCGAGTGGTCTAAGTAGTTACTACTGTAATCACTAGCCAGTCAACACTGAGGTTGTGAGTTCGAACCCCGCTCGTGCGGGTGCACTCGACTCCAATCTTAATTGACTAGGATTGTCAGTTTTCCTATCGAAGGTCGGTGGTTTTCTCCGGGCACTCCGGCTTCCTCCACCAATAAAAACTGGCCGCCACGAAATAGCCCAAAAGCGGTGCTTAAAAGTGGCGTTAAAACACCAAAAATCAATCAAATCAATCTAACAGTACATCTGACATGCGCTATTCCGATAATTCGTTTGACCTAGTTTCGACATCTGGCAATGGGCGGGGTTAAAAATCAAAATCGTCCAATGTAAAACTGCTATTCTTTATTCTGCTAAAGTACGTTTCAAACAAATATGTGCGGAATTTGAAAGTTAGAAGAAAGTTATTCTACCGAAAAGTTGCTTTTTGATATTATATAAGACTGTTTTTATATTGAATGAATACAATTATATTTTTCCACAATTAATATCTTTAAAAATTTAATTTACTAGCCATGAAAATTTGTGGTGTGTTGATTATTTAATCGTGTTTAACTTTTTAGTAGGACTCGATGAATTAACCAAATCTCCACTGCTTCATTTAAATCCTTCTTTTCGAAACTAATTTGAACATAATTGCATTTGATCACATTTCATATCCTATTATCTCATTCACACATTAAGAAGTATCTATATTGACCAACTTTGCCGACGATAAACCAACGCCACGATTATCGTTGGAAAACGCAAAATAACGTCGTTATCGATTAAGACGCAATATCGGACATAACGTCAGCTGCAATGTAAAAGGGGTATTTTTATTTCCTATATTTGTGATATGTCATGGATGTGTTAGTATAAAATGTTGAGTTATTTCAATTATTTTGAATGTAATACAAATAATGCTCATTTAGTTTAGTTATAGTTGAAGAATTAAGTAATTCTTTTGTAATTTTATTTGGTATAAAAGCGTTGACCCCCCCAAAGTAAGTTTTTGCGAGAAGCACTAGCAGTCATAGTTGTGGCATTTTTAAAAATATTTACAGTAGGAGTTCATTCATACAAATGCCGATCTTTAATTGGCTGACTCCGTCATATACTTTCATTTCGTATGAAAACATTCCATATCGTATGAAACTAACCCAGGTTTATGGAATTTATAACATTAGCTTCCACGAGTCATGCAAAATATACTGACGGACTTTAGAAACGCAACACACATTTTGGTGATTTTTTTTTTACCAAATCCTGATTGATCCTCATAGAACTACTACTCATGCTTACCATACTTCTTCATGTTAAGAAAAATCCATACCTGACCTACCTGAGTTTATTGAACATATCGGATTATTGAAGTCGCACGAATTTCTTAAAGCGAAATTTGAAACCCATCAATGATTTTTTTTAAGGTTTTCTTTTCGTGAAACAATTCTTTCAATCCATACCCACACTTGAATCATTAGAAAAATGTTGTATCTCCACATTGCCGAGACTGAGCAATGAAAATCTCAATCAGACCATAAGAATATTGCATGCAGGAATACTTGAACGTGCTGTTTCAAGGCAATTTCACGTCAGAAACTCGTCTTACTGTCCTTATAACAACGGCACAGGCAGACGGGATTTGTTGATGACCACCCATGATCAGTTCAATATGAAGTGACAACGCCACGTCAATAAAATTTGATTATGCAACGTCATTTACGATACAAGTTAACAGCCGCAATGTCAAATGCTTATCTAATCACCGAATGCCATTGCAAACAGATTCATGCCAAAAATGTTTCCCATAGACTGAAATGCCAAAGAATTGACTGCAGAAAAACATTTTAAGCCCTAATGTTTAAACCGCTTAATTGCCAAAACACACTGTAATGCATGGGACAGAGGCAAAATCAGAAGGTAAAAAACACAACTCAAAACATGCCCAACAGAACTGGTTGACCTTTCTGACAATCATTTTGGCGTTTGTTACAGGCAGTCATTGCCTTCGACGATGACACATCCATTGATAAGGGGGAAACCAGGGGTTCAGTGCATACCATATGATTTGAACATTAAAAATGACGTTATCAATTCATTTTTCGAACTGCAAACTTTTTTTAAAAGATAAAAAAAATGAATAAAATTTATGTTTATACATTTATTTTACAAAAATTGCATATTTGAAAATGGGAATAGAAAAGAATAATCTAGTGTTGCGTTTTTAAAGTCCGTCAGTATATGATGGCTCGCTTTCATTTCGTATAAATGTTCAAAAACAGATTTCAAATCAATAATAAAAAAACAATTTTTGAATGTCCGCGATTGTTGTCTCCCAATAAAAATCCTAAAATCTTATAAAACATCTAAGTAATGCAATTATAAGACAAAATTAAAAACATCCCAAAAATATTCTCCTTCCGCGATCCAAACATTTTACATATCGTCTAGGATTTTTTTAAATGCTAGTATCATTTAAGGCTATTTTTAAGGAGTTTATTGGTGTGCAAACTCGGCATTTCAGTGACAAACATTTTGGCTGTGTTTGGATATACGCCAGAGGTGGCCTATGGTTATCCATAGGTACCTTTGGTTTGATATTCTATATATCAAAATATCAAACCATTGGTACCCAAAGATACCTATGGGTAACCATAGGCTGCCTTAGGCGTATATCCAAACACAGCCTATGCTATGTTTGTGAGTGCAAGGTCAAAGTTGACGTGTAAACACGACTGTCGCTTTCATTAACTTAGGCTGTGTTTGGATATACGCCTAAGGCAGCCTATGGTTACCCATAGGTATCATTGGGTACCAATGGTTTGATATTTTGATATATAGAATATCAAACCAAAGGTACATATGGATAATCATAGGCCACCTCTGGCGTATATCCAAACACAGCCTATATCACATCTGAATATGTTAAATATGAGTGAATGGTCGAGTTAACCTAACGTACCATCGTGACAGGATTCGATTTAATCAAAACTTTATGTTGCGTTATTCTGATACATGTAAAATTGAGAATGGAAATGGGGAATGTGTCAAAGAGACAAAAACCCGACCAAAGAGCAGAAAACAGCCCAAGGCCACCAATGGGTCTTCAACACAGCGAGAAAATTCCGCACCAGGAGGCGGTCTTCAGCTGGTCCCTAAACAAAAATGTGTACTAGTTCAGTGAAAATGTACACATTCCACAGAGTGGTGTCTAAAATTTTATCGAACTCGTTATTTTGACAAGACCAATATACGAGCATTATCGGATCTAAGTATGATGATGGATCCGGTGGATGGAAGCCATCTTTGGATTTACTAATCATGAAAAAAATCGAAACATTTTTGGATCCGCGCCTGACGTGCATCAAGTATATAATGTCCCAAACTTTGTTTATACCTGCATAACTTTTAAAAGTACGGATGAAAGGTCATTATCTGATAATAGATTGACATAATAAAATTGTAATATTTGCCACATGTTACTTACTTAATGTTGTTTTCCGGCACAGGATCATAATGGTTCCTCTTCACCTTGTTAACAAGATAAGAGAGGACATTTTTTTATCGATAAATGATTGTTAGATATTCTATTAAGCTACGTGACATGGAGCTCACTAGAACACCTCTCGATCAATTCGTTCAAATAAGCTTTTAGAATGACTGCTGAAAAGTACAACGCGGTCTGATCTGTAATCAAATAAATAAATAAGAGAACTTTTGAATGGTATTTTTAAACGTCGTGTAATATTATATGCCCTCTAAACTTTACCTGCGTGCCATCTCCACTGTAAGACACATTGTGAACATTGAAGGCCATCAGGAAGTTTAACCTGGAAACGTTTTGTTCCAACTCCAGGAGTGTTAGTATACCTGAAAAAGATGAAAACGTTCTTTTATTCAAGTTTTAAATTAAATTATGCGAATTGATTGCATTCCACTCTCGTCTTTAGTTGACAAGGCTGTGGATATATGAAAATGCATTCGACAAAAATAAAAAGACGCAACAAGATATTTTTACAGATATAGGAAAATTTATAAATAATTTAAATTTGAAAAAAAAACATGAAGATGTCAAAATATATTCATGATACGGTAACAAAAACATTAACTAGATCTCTTATCTTACCAGGGTAATAATTCTGTCCCAATGCTTGCAGTAGAGCAGTTCATAAAGGAATCACTCCTGGCAGGCTATATATTCCGCCTCATTGATCACAATAGAGCAGTTCATAGAGGAATCACTCCTGGCGGGTTATTGATCCTGAGCCAGTGCTCGCAATAGAGTAGTACATAAAGGAATCACTCCTCGTTGGTTATTGATTCCGCCCCATTGATCACAAAAGAGAAGTTCATAAAGAAATCACTCCTGACAGGGTATTGATTCCGCCCCATCGATCCCAAAGAGCAGTTCATAAAGGAATCACTCCTGGTGGGTTATTGATTCCGACCCATTGATCACAATGGAGCAGTTCATAAAGAAATCACTCCTGGCAGGTATTGATTCCGTCACATTGCTTACAATAGAGCTGTACATAAAGGAATCACTCCTCGTGGGTAATTGATTCCGACCCATTGGTCACAATAGAGCAGTTCATAAAGAAATCACTCCTGGTGGATTAATGCTTCTGACCCATTACTAGCAATGGAGCAGTTCATTAAGGAATCACTCCTAGCAGGTATTGATTCCGTCACATTGCTCACAGTGGAACAGTTCATAAAGGAATCACTCCTGACAGGTATTGATTTTGTCCCAATGCTTGCAATAGAGCAGTTCATAAAGAAATCACTCCTGTCAGGGTACTGATTCCGTCCCATTGATCACAAAAGAGCAGTTCATAGAGAAATCACTCCTGGTAGGTATTGATTCCGTCACATTGCTTACAATAGAGCAGTATTTAAAGGAATCACTCCTCGTGGGTTATTGATTCCGCCCCATTGATCACAATAGAGAAGTTCACAAAGAAATCACTCCGGGCGGGTATTGATTCTGTCACATTGCTCACAATGGAACAATTCATAAAGAAATCACTCCTGGTAGGTATTGATTCCGTCACATTGCTCAAAATGGAGCAGTTCATTAAGGAATCACTCCTGGCAGGTATTGATTCCGTCACACTTCTCACAATGGAGTAGTTCATTAAGGAATCACTCCTGGCAGGTATTGATTCCGTCATATTGCTTACAATGGAGCAGTTCATAAAGGAATCACTCCTGGCAGGGTATTGATTCCGTCACATTGCTTACAATGGAGCAGTTCATAAAGGAATCACTCCTGGTAGGGTATTGATTCCGTCACACTTCTCACAATGGAACAGTTCATAAAGGAATCACTCCTGGCAGGTATTGATTCCGTCACATTGCTCACAATAGAGCAGTTCAGAAAGGAATCACTCCTGGCAGGTATTGATTCCGTCACATTGCTCACAATGGAGCAGTTCATAAAGAAATCACTCTTGGCAGGTATTGATTCCGTCACATTGCTTACAATGGAGCAGTTCATAAAGGAATTACTCCTGGCAGGGTATTGATTCCGTCACACTTCTCACAATGGAACAGTTCATAAAGGAATCACTCCTGGCAGGTATTGATTCCGTCACATTCCTTACAATAGAGCACTTCATAAAGGAATCACTCCTGGTAGGGTATTGATTCCGTCACACTTCTCACAATGGAGCAGTTCATAAAGGAATCACTCCTAGCAGGTATTGATTCCGTCACATTGCTTACAATGGAGCAGTTCATAAAGGAATTACTCCTGGCAGGTATTGATTCCGTCACACTTCTCACAATGGAACAGTTCATAAAGGAATCACTCTTGGCAGGTATTGATTCCGTCACATTGCTCAAAATGGAGCAGTTCAGAAAGGAATCACTCCTGGCAGGGTATTGATTCCGTCACACTTCTCACAATAGAGCAGTTCATAAAGGAATCACTCCTGGCAGCTATTGATTCCGTCACATTGCTCACAATAGAGCAGTTTATAAAGGAATCACTCCTGGCAGGTATTGATTCTGTCACACCTCGCTCACAATAGAGCAGTTCATAAAGGAATCACTCCTGGCAGGTATTGATTCTGTCACACCTCGCTCACAATAGCGCAGTTCATATAGGAATCACTCCTAGCAGGTATTGATTCCGTCACATTGCTCACAATAGAGCAGTTCATTAAGGAATCACTCCTGGCAGGTATTGATTCTGTCACACCTCGCTCACAATAGAGCAGTTCATAAAGGAATCACTCCTGGCAGGTATTGATTCCGTCACATTGCTCACAATGGAACAGTTCATAAAGGAATTACTCCTGGCAGGGTATTGATTCTGTCACACTTCTCACAATGGAACAGTTCATAAAGAAATTACTCCTGGCAGGGTATTGATTCTGTCACACCTCGCTCACAATGGAACAGTTCATAAAGGAATTACTCCTGGCAGGGAATTGATTCCGTCACATTGCTCACAATGGAACAGTTCATAAAGGAATCACTCCTGGCAGGGAATTGATTCCGTCACACTTCTCACAATGGAACAGTTCATAAAGGAATCACTCCTGGCAGGGAATTGATTCCGTCACACTTCTCACAATGGAACAATTCATAAAGGAATAACTCCTGGCAGGGTATTGATTCCGTCACACTTCTCACAATGGAACAATTCATAAAGGAATCACTCCTGGCAGGGTATTGATTCCGTCACATTACTTACAATGGAACAGTTCATAAAGGAATCACTCCTGGCAGGGTATTGATTCCGTCACACTTCTCACAATGGAACAGTTCATAAAGGAATCACTCCTGGCAGGGTATTGATTCCGTCACATTACTTACAATGGAACAATTCATAAAGGAATCACTCCTGGCAGGGTATTGATTCCGTCACATTACTTACAATGGAACAGTTCATAAAGGAATCACTCCTGGCAGGGTATTGATTCCGTCACATTACTTACAATGGAACAATTCATAAAGGAATAACTCCTGGCAGGGTATTGATTCCGTCACATTACTTACAATGGAACAATTCATAAAGGAATCACTCCTGGCAGGGTATTGATTCCGTCACATTACTTACAATGGAACAGTTCATAAAGGAATCACTCCTGGCAGGGTATTGATTCTGTCACACCTCGCTCACAATGGAACAGTTCATAAAGGAATCATTCCTGGCAGGGTATTGATTCCGTCACACTTCTCACAATGGAACAGTTCATAAAGGAATCACTCCTGGCAGGGTATTGATTCTGTCACACTTATCAAAATGGAACAGTTCATTAAGGAATCACTCCTGGCAGGGAATTGATTCCGTCACATTGCTAACAATGGAACAGTTCATAAAGGAATCACTCTGGGCAGGTATTGATTCCGTCACATTGCTCAAAATGGAGCAGATCATAAAGGAATCACTCTTGGCAGGTATTGATTCCGTCACATTGCTCACAATTGAGCTCTTCATAAAGAAATCACTCCTGGCAGGTATTGATTCCGTCACATTGCTTACAATGGAGCAGTTTATAAAGGAATCACTCTTGGCAGGTATTGAATCCGTCACGTTGCTCACAATGGAGCAGTTCATAAAGGAATCACTCCTGGCAGGTATTGATTCCGTCACATTGCTTACAATGGAGCAGTTCATAAAGGAATCACTCCTGGCAGGTATTGATTCCGTCACACTTCTCACAATGGAACAGTTCATAAAGGAATCACTCTTGGCAGGTATTGATTCCGTCACATTGCTCAAAATGGAGCAGTTCATTAAGGAATCACTCCTGGCAGGGTTTTGATTCCGTCACACTTCTCACAATAGAGCAGTTCATAAAGGAATCACTCCTGGCAGGTATTGATTCCGTCACATTGCTCACAATAGAGCAGTTTATAAAGGAATCACTCCTGGCAGGTATTGATTCTGTCACACCTCGCTCACAATAGAGCAGTTCATAAAGGAATCACTCCTGGCAGGTATTGATTCTGTCACACCTCGCTCACAATAGCGCAGTTCATAAAGGAATCACTCCTGGCAGGTATTGATTCCGTCACATTGCTCACAATAAAGCAGTTCATTAAGGAATCACTCCTGGCAGGTATTGATTCTGTCACACCTCGCTCACAATAGAGCAGTTCATAAAGGAACCACTCCTGGCAGGTATTGATTCCGTCACATTGCTCACAATGGAACAGTTCATAAAGGAATCACTCCTGGCAGGGTATTGATTCCGTCACACTTCTCACAATGGAACAGTTCATAAAGGAATCATTCCTGGCAGGGTATTGATTCCGTCACACTTCTCACAATGGAACAGTTCATAAAGGAATCATTCCTGGCAGGGTATTGATTCCGTCACACTTCTCACAATGGAACAGTTCATAAAGGAATCACTCCTGGCAGGGTATTGATTCTGTCACACTTCTCAAAATGGAACAGTTCATTAAGGAATCACTCCTGGCAGGGAATTGATTCCGTCACATTGCTAACAATGGAACAGTTCATAAAGGAATCACTCTGGGCAGGTATTGATTCCGTCACATTGCTCAAAATGGAGCAGATCATAAAGGAATCACTCTTGGCAGGTATTGATTCCGTCACATTGCTCACAATTGAGCTCTTCATAAAGAAATCACTCCTGGCAGGTATTGATTCCGTCACATTGCTTACAATGGAGCAGTTCATAAAGGAATCCCTCCTGGCAGGTATTGATTCCGTCACATTGCTTACAATGGAGCAGTTTATAAAGGAATCACTCCTGGCAGGTATTGAATCCGTCACATTGCTCACAATGGACAGTTCATAAAGGAATCAATCCTGGCAGGTATTGATTCCGTCACATTGCTTACAATGGAGCAGTTCATAAAGGAATCACTCCTGGCAGGTATTGATTCCGTCACATTGCTCACAATGGAACAGTTCATAAAGGAATCACTCCTGGCAGGTATTGATTCCGTCACATTGCTCACAATAGAGCAGTTCATAAAGGAATCACTCCTGGCAGGTATTGATTCCGTCACATTGCTCACAATAGAGCAGTTCATAAAGGAATCACTCCTGGCAGGTATTGAATCCCTCCCATTACTCACAGTGAAACAGTTCAGAAAGGAATCCCTCTTTCTGGTGTATTGATTCCGTCCCATCATGTATTTTGTAGGTTTGTATTAAGGTGACTAACGTGCATAAATGAAATGAATAAAATCTGCTGGCCTGCATGTGTAAGTTCGCTTGCCAACGTTTAAATTTCATTAGAAGGAGCAAATGCTGTTTTCCATTACCTGCAATCTATCTTTGTTCGCTTATCTTAGTTTAACTTTAAGATGTTCCCTTACCGTGTTCCAGATCTAGTAACAATCTTAACCTTAAGTAAACTATATGGTTTTCCCTTACTGCGTTCCAGATCTAGTAACAAACTTAATCTTAATTAAACTTTTAGATGTTCCCTTACCGTGTTCCAGATCTAGTAACAATCTTAACCTTAATTAAACTTTAAGATGTTCCCTTACCGTGTTCCAGATCTAGTCTCAATCTTAATCTTAATTTAACTTTAAGACGTTAACTTACCGTGTTCCAGATCTAGTAAAAACCTTAATTAAACTTTTTAAAGACGTTCCCTTACCATGTTCTAGATCTAGTCACAATATTAATTAAATTTTAAGATGCTCCCTTACCGTGTTCCAGATCCTGTAACAATCTTAATTAAAAATTGAGATGTTACTTTTCATGTTCCATATATAGTCACAATCTTAATATGAATTAAACTTTGAGATGTTCCCTTACCGTGTTCCAGATCCAACAACGTTGAGTAAGTATCTATCCAGACATGACTGAGTGATAGCTTTGGTCGGATTGTTGTTTGGACAGAGTTTCAGTTCAAACCATCCTCTATGATCAGCGGTTATCTGTATTGCAACGTCAACAACCTGTCCCGTTTTATAAGATCTGCCAATGGTACCGGTGGCGAACCGCCCGCCAGCTTCGTTTTCCTTCGGCCCTTGGTAAGGATCGCCACAGACGCCACACTTACCATTTTGGAATAAATATTGATTCTAAAAAAAAGGAAAATATAAATGTTGTTGTGCTTCAAACCTGATGTCTTGAATATCTTTATTTTGAAAAATAATTAAATTACATGTTTATAGATATAAGAAGATGTGGTATGAGTGCCAATGAGACAACTCTCCATCCAATTGCATACTTCTGATTGGCTGACAACAATTGGGAGGTATTCCAAAATTAATCAAAACTTACAACTTTTATACTAAAATTACATTATGAAGCATTCAAATCTTAAATGAACTTCCATACTTTATGTTGTTGTTTTTTAAAAGTGAAATATAGATACAATGGGGAGTATAAAACGCATATGAAAACACTCATTCAATAACCTAGATATCACGGAACGGTCTTGAATAATGGACAATCGCTGGTACCATGAATAATGGACAAACGCTGGTACCATGAATAATGGACAAACGCTGGTACCATGAATAATGGACAAACGCTGGTACCATGAATAATGGACAAACGCTGGTACCATGAATAATGGACAAACGCTGGTACCATGAATAATGGACAAACTCTGTTACCATAAGGTACCAAATCGAGTTTAAAAGTGCAATTAAAACCCTTGTTACCAAATCGTTCATTCTAGAGGTAAAATTGAGTTTTATATTGGCAGTAATGTCTATGGAAGTTTATATGTGGAACACATGTGAAACAAATAGAGACAATAGTAACTCGGCAAACCACGAGAACATGTTACTACAAAAAATATTCAATATCTTCGTTTGAAAACTTTTCATACTCATACTGTTTGTATTTCATAAATACATGTTATAAAGCAAAGACACGAATCTATGGTGAAAAAAACGGTTTTTGACCTGTATATGTCCGTTACTGTTTTGCTGTTGTTTAATGTTGCTGTCCGATTGACATTTACTCCCACTTCTTCCTTTATTCGTACAACTACAGCACTGATGATGATATTTCTTGTTCCTGCTATTGCAGTTGTCCGTCATTTTTTCTGTCACCCCTATTATTTTCCTTTCAAATCAAACATGGTCATCAGTTTGTATAATTATCCATTTAGTATCTGTCATGAATCAATAACAAATCATTCGCAAATCGAAAAATATTTTCAAATGAAAAAACTGAAAAATATTGATGATTCAAATCACAAAACTGACATTTTTAACAACATTTCATATTCGTCATATTTTTATTCAAAGTCGGTCGTGTTGAATTTGCACATATCTAAAGACTATACAAATTAATTTTCCATATGTTAGAAGAGGTAATCAAGGTGCTTTACAGTAAATATAAATAAGAAGATGTGGTATTAGTGCCAATGAGACAACGCTCCATCCAAGTCACAATGTATAAAAAGTGAACAATTATAGGTCAAAGTACGGCCTTCAAAACGGAGCTTTGGCTCACACCAAACAGCAGCTATAAAGGGCCCTAAAATGACTAGTGTAAAACAATTCAAACAGGAAAACCAACAGTCTAATCTATATAAAAAACGAGAAACGAGAAACACTTATGAACCACACCAACAAACGACAACCACTGAACAAAAGGCTCCTGACTTAGGACAGGTGCATAAAAAAAAACAGCGGGTTTAAACGTTTTAACAGGCGCCAACCTTCACCCTAACATGAGACATACTATAAAATTACAATTGAAATGGCTTAACTCTATCAAAAAGACATTTAAACAAAAACAAGTAAATATATGCTGAACGGATAAGTTTGATCTTTGACACAATATAAATACAATATTAATAAAAAAAAAATGTAGGAACAGTGTCAAAAAGACAACTCTAACCTGGGACAAAATGGCGTTAAATTGAACAACGTACACAGGTAAATTTAAATATAATAATTTTGTTGTTAGGAGTACGGAAGTAAACATTTTTTACAAAATTAATGAATTTGTTCTTCACAGTACGAGTACAGAAGTGAAAATGTATCGTCATACTAAATAAGTATGACTGACCAATTTGTTATAATTTCAACTGCGTTTATATATTTCTGATATTTCAATTTAGATTTTTCAGTTTTTTCTATTTCAAAATCGTAGAGTAATGTTTTAACCCGTCATTGTCAAAATAATGTAAAGTCCCCAAAAAGTAAAAATCGCAAATCGAAAGGGTGAAAGACAGCAACAAGATGCACCTGTCTTGTTTCTATCGACAAACAAAAGTCCATTAATCAGTCGCATTCGCTGATAAACGAAGAAAAGAGCACGATATTGTGACTACGACAAATATGGCCACATATTCTCTGTGTTTTAGTCACGGCAGTTGTTTTTGTGCTTTATGTTTTATATCGATCTGACGAGTTAAGCTCTTTTCAACTGATTTTTATAGTTTGTTCTTATGTTGTAGTTTTACACCACTGTCCCAGGTTAGGGGAGGGTTGGCGCCTTCAAATATGTTAAAACCCGCTACCTTCTGTCTGTCCCAAGTCAGGACTAATATCCTCCACTGTAAAATCCCTACCTGCATAGGAATTTGAATAATTATGATCAATACACGCAGATCTGAGAGTACTCGAAATTACTGGAATCTAGTTGATTGATTGATTGCTAAACGTCTAGTGGCAAATATTTATGCATGTTCAGAACAAAAACATATTTACAAAAAATACAGGTAGCTAGGTCCTGTAGTAGGGCTCGTCCACGACGAAGGTCTGGAAATTTGGAAATGCCATGCATCGGAAAATGAGGGTTTATTGGATAGGATTATTTGCCTTTCAGTAGATCACCTACGAACCCCTCAAAGAGTGGCATTCTATCTACACTTGGAATCGGATATAGCGTCCCCATTCTGACCAGATGTGACTGCGTATTGATACATCCTGCACAGCCAAACGGACGCCCAACCTTGGGAAGGGTTTTATTGTACGTCGGATGAAGACCAAGTGGATCATTGGATAGCTAGTTGAAAACTTACAACAACTAATTAAAAAAAACCATGTGTCTAAGTTGAGGTTCATTCAAGTATTTGTTGATGGAAGTGAAATGATCTGAACCAAAGTTCTAGGTTACAGTTTCTATATAAGGTGAAATATAATAACATTTAATTATATCCAATACTCCATTCACTAAGGATGATAGACTAGTGTTCACATGACATTCAATGATAAAATTAAGAGTTTTGACGACTTCACTGGCGTGCATCTACAGATAACGATTTTTATTATCTTTTTTTAAATGCACAAAAAAGTATTTGTGAAAAAATTATTTGTAGGCACGTGCCTAAAGTGCCTAACGGCAGCTACGCCCCTGTCCTGGAGCGTGTTATTGAGTGGTTGTCGTTTGTTACTGTATATCTTATTTGTTTTTCCTTTCATTGTATTGTACAGTTTGTACTTGCTTTGTGCTGTTACACCACTGTCCAAGGTTATGGGAGGGTGCTAACATGCTTAATCACGTCATATTCTGTATGGTCATCTCCCAAGTCAGGAGCCTATCATTCAGTGGTTGTCGTTTGTTGCTGTATATCATATTTATTTGGTTTTTTTTAATTATTATTTTATTGTTTTGTACATGAATCATGCCGCTAGTTCCCATTTGAATTGTTTTACATTTGTAATTTGGGGGCCTTTTATAGTTTGCTCTGTGGAATGGGTTTTGCTCATTGTTGTATGCCGTATGGTGACCTATAGTTGCTTTCTTCTAATTGTGGAGAGTTGTCTTATTGACAATCATATCACAGCTTCATATTGTAATATACATGCATTCCGTGACGGTCAACCAAATCGCGGGGCGATCGTAAAACTCTCGAAAAAAAGAGGACTTCAACTTTACCATTAAGAACCCTTGGTTCAATGACTTCCTTTTTCTGGAAATCATCATGAAGTTCTGGAAAATTGCATCAAGTGGGAGAGAATATACTCCTTTTGCAGTTGCTTAATGAAAGAAGATAAATAATTCAGTATAAGAGAATTGACATCTTACAGGTCTGGGCTGATATGCATAAAACCACTTAACTTAAGATATCCAATCGTAGTACTAATTTATCGTAGGACATGTAGAAAAATCCGTCCGTTCGGAACAAATCTTAACTTAAGTAGCTTTATGCATACGGGCTCAGTTCTCAAACGAACCGTACCATCGACTGCTTAGTGTAAGCCTATGTTTGAAGCTGTAATCATAGTACCCTATATAGAAAAAACGGACGTTGAAGGATAATATCAGTCTCTTTTCTTTCTTGTTGAGTCTGTGTACGAGACCTGATTGTGATATTGAGAGAATCTCGCGTAAAAAACTTTCTTTTGTCAAACTTTTCTGGATAGGAGTTCTTGTATGAAGACAACAGTTACATGATTTTCTTATTTGCCTCTATGAGGGTCTGGGGATGGGGTCTTTCTTTAATTTTTTGTCCATTATTCTCTATTCTTTATATTTTAGCACCTCATTATTCCTGTATTCAATATTTAATTGTCTGTTTTTCTCTATTCGTTATTTTTTTTACCCTTTATTCTGTATTTTTCGCTTATTATTCTCTATTCTGAAACCCCATCCAGACCATCCTCTATCCATCTTCGAGATACAGCCATATTTTCCTTCGAGTTGAAACTTTTGTTTACAAAGTTGCTTACCACAATAATTGCAACCTCTTTGGAAATATGAATTATAAAACTATACTTACCATAAAACCACCGCACCATATTTTTGAAACTTTTGTTTACAAAGTTGCTTACCACAGTATTGCAACCTCTTTGGAAATATGAATTATAAGCAAAAACTTACCATAAAACCACCGCAATTTAACTGATTATCATTATAATTTTTTGGCGTACTAAAACCAACTCTCCACATACTAGCCCGAGAAGGAGGGTCCAGAAGTCTTCCATGTCCAAGTACACTACTAATTAAACAACACAACAAAAATCCAGATAACATGTTGAATAATTGCGTTATTTTCCTTTGACTTTTAACTTTCTCGTGCAGGTGAAGTATAGTCTCTAGAACTAAGATGATATAGATAAGAATGTTTTACATTTTATATCGATAACAGTTTGGACTAAGTAGATAAACGTACGGTTCTTCACTCTACAGCCAGTTCAATTTAAGCCTGAAAAGTTTCTTCATTTTTCGTCAAATTAATTATACAGCTTTGGAGAATGATACAAATGAAATTTATTATATACTTAGTAGTAAATTGATGAAAATTGTATGTGTAATACGACCAATGGCATTAACCGTATCAACCCTCAACTAATATAATCCCTCGACCAGGGCTCTTGGGATTATATAAATGTCTCGGGTTGATACGGATGTGATATTGAAAAAGACATATCATATTCTCTATCTATTTCTTATGAAACAAGAATTTTGCAATCTGATAGGTTTATTACCCGAGTGTAAATAACACGTACCCCACCCAAGTCCACCCGGGGATAAAATTTTGTCAAAATTTGCAAAATATAAAATTTGGAAAAATTTGGAAAAAAAATTAGAAAATACAAAAATTACAACAAAATTCTTTTTTTTTCTCAAAAGTTCTACTTTTACTAAAATCTTCCATATAAACATTATAAAAGATTTGGTTTGCATGTGTGGCTGTACCTGTAGAATTCTTATAACAAACGGAATATTATATCCTTATCTTTACGGTAATGTTGTCTACAAAGCCCGTATATTTAGCTACGATCCAAGTAAACTCATTGATCCTTTGAACAAACTTATTCTCAAAGGATATCAATTTAATACCGTAGAAAGGTTTTGAATGTTGTATGCATCGGTCCTAACTTGATTTTAATGTTAATCGATTAAAACATTACTAAATACGTATTACTTTACAATTACTAATATGACAACTTATGGTCCTATATACTGTCAATATCATGTACTAGTACTTATATTTTGACATAGCACAAAGTCATTTTCTTGGACTGTTTATAATGTCTTTATCTAAATCCATTAGATGTAAACTGGGTGATTCTTTAACCTGTTAGAACATGATTTATTTTTTCTTGTGTTTTAACGTGTTTTAGTAGCTGTTAGAACTCTTACTTCGGTGTTTTGTGTCCTTTAACTCTTTAACTAAATGTTAGTTACTGCTGGGCTTCGTACAAATCTGATGAGTCAAACAATTGCCAATTGATTTTTACAATTTGTTCTTATATTTTTCTGTTACATCACTGCTCCAGGTGAGAGTTAAGCGTTCGCAAACACCGCCGTCACAGTATGTATGTTCCTGCCTAAAGTCAGGAGTCGTTATCATTGGTTGCTGTTTTTCCTTTTTGTGTTTTTTTTTATCCTTTAGTCCAAAAAAAATTTTTTTACGTTTTAATTGTTTCACGTTTTGTCATGTCGTGGACTAGGAAAGAGAGAAAGATACAGAGAGTATTTTAGTTCAAATTTTTATTGTCATAAAAACTCTTAACAATAAGTTTGTGACATATTATATGAATACATACATACACAAAATACATTTCACAAACAAAACCATAGGAAAACATATCCCATAGAACATATAAAAGTAAAAAAGCAAAACAATCTATTTATATATATATTTATATAAATAAATCAAGAGTCCCCTGTCCTCAGTTCTAATGCCTGTAGACAGTGATTGATTGCACGGTAAAATAGAACCGCCTGTAGATAAAATGTGGAGTGCAAAGAGATGATGCAGTGTTTTGAGATACACCTCCACAAATCCAAACCCCATATCGATCTTCGTTAATATAGAATTATTTTGTTTGTGTCTTTATTAAAATTGAATTTCGATTTAATTTATCATAAACGTTTTGACATGACTGCGTCATATTTAATACCGTTGTAGCTATGTATCGGGGCAGATGGCCTGTAGACAAGAATTTTCCGTAAGTTTTAATAAGTGTTATCAGATAATATCATATTTATCTATAAACAAGTGCGGTCTCTTAAATTTTATATACAATCTGAATACATAACCACATTAAGAGTGTTTAGTTTTAATACTGTCCATACTTAAATTGGCATGTTTCTTTTAATAAATAAGTACTCGAACATTATATCAAAGGCGAACTTTTGGTCTGGACTATGGGGTGTCAGACAAGAAACGCGTGTTGCTCCGTTTTGTCACTAACACCATGCATGTAGATAAATATCATATCTCTGTCGCGTTCTTATTGGACATCTTAAAATGAGGCGCCTGTTTGGACATATTGAACATACTGAAGTCTGGAAGTTCGTCAATACATGTAGGTGTCGCTATATATATCTAATAAAGTTTTAACAAAACCATTTAAGAATTGAATGCTTCTTTTTGTAAATTTATTGGGGTGTAAAAGCGTTGACCGAAGTACAATTTGTATGAAGCGCGGAAGGAACCTTCAATGCTTTTACGACCCTATAAAATTACTAAAAGAAGCATTCAATACTTATAATTACATTTTTTTGCTAGGATCATGAAAACACGATTTCTATCAAGTTTTTCTTTTATTAACCTGTGCACTTTATTGTGAAAGTCATCATGAATGTTACATTTCATTTAAGAATTGAATGCTAATGCTTCTTTTTGTAAATTTATTTGGGTGTAAAAGCGTTGACCGAAGTACAATTTGTATGAAGCGCGGAATGTTACATTTCATTTTGAAATGAAGGTAACTTTCAGAATGACGCGAGATTACTGTTAGCCAATCAAAATAACTTATCCTAATGAAACATGTATGTAATGTAATTATTTTGAAATGAATGTTAATCTCAGAATGACTCGAAGTTGCTGTTAGCCAATCAAAATAACGTATTATAATGAAACATACACGTAATGCAATTATTAAGGAATGATGTGTCGTTTTTCCGTGTCCATACCCAGACTGTCTAGACTCGGGTGATCTAAAGCTTGACATATGGTTAAAGTTTTGGTTTTTCGCTAAGGTCATGTGGCAATCTCGAGTTGCATGTCTATTTCTTGTAATTTTGTGTCGTTAGGTTTCCGCGCGTCAATGATGGTAAGCTAACATCTCCTATTCATTAAGATTGTGATTCCAATAAAATAAAAGTCGTCACTCCGTTCATATGTGATATGGAAGTATTTATTCTCTGTTCTTATTTAACAATCTTTGTCAAATACCTAAGAGGTCAGAATTTGGCCTCAATTTTCCTATCTAGTGTATTCTTTTAATTTTGGAGTTTTACCTTAATGGATTGGTCATTTTCTTTCATTGAGCGGATGGGAGGAACATTGCAATTTCTCTTATTTTTTTCAAGTCCCCACCTTGAGGAAGGAAAATAAATTCACGACCCCCCTTCCAAAGGCGCGAAAATTTCAACTCCCTCTCCCAATTTCTCAATACTTTATAACAAAACTAATTATTTATATTATCATCGTTCAATAAAATATTGCATCATTAGTGGATCTAGAGCTTAAAGTAGGGGAGGTCGTTTGTGACTTCAGAGAACTTTATTATGATATATAAAAGTGCAGAAATGTGGTATGATTGCCAATGAGACAGCTATTCAACAGTGTTTAAATGAAGTGATATAGACCACCGTACGGCCTTCAACAACAGAGTTAAAATGAAGTGGTAGTAAACAAATATAGGCCACCGTACAGCCTTCAAAAATGAGAAAAAACTTATCTTGTAAAGTCGACTATAAGAGGGCCGACATGAAAAATGTTAAACAATTCAAACGAGAAAACTAACGACCTAATTTATAACAAAAGAATTCACGAAAAACAAATGCATGTATGACAGACCTGAACCAACGACAACCACTTTACTACAGGCTCCTGACTTGGGACAGGCACATGAAGAATGTGGCAGGGTTAATCATGTTTGTGGGAGCTCAACTCTCCTATAGCCTGGGACAGAGGTGTTACAGCACAACATAAGAACAAACTGTACTGAAAATTCAGTTGCAATTTGCAACTCAAAAGAACGAAAAGAGGCACAAAAATAATAAACACAAGGCACCGAAAAAAGAGTACTCCCAGTTACTGAAAGCTAGTTCAAAGCCAATTACAACTAATAGACAAATCATGTTTTCCCAGCTAAAGTATTAACCAGTACACATCCAACGGGTTTAGAGTAACGCTGTCGTAAACAGTGTGAGAAACCGTTAACGCATGACATTGTGCAAAGCCACAGTATCTACAGGATGTAGAATCATAAGTTATCATAACTGTTCATATAATAGCAACATCTAGTCAGTTATGTTTTAATTTTTCAAAACAAAAAAATACAAAAACAAAAAATAAATGCTAGTAGTCCTATAAAACAAAATCAATATTTGTACCAATAAAAACAATAGTTGAAGATTTTACTACTATGCTTAATTGATAACCTTTAAGAACAAGGGAGCTGCCATTTGATTTTTATAGGGGGGGGGATAGGATGAAAAATTTTGTCCTGCATTTTTTTTATAGTTGTAATCTCTGTCCTGCCTTTTTATTTTTTCTCTATTCGGTCCTGCCTTTTTTCTTATAGTTTATCCTGACTTTATTTACATAAATTGTCATCCTGCCTATTTTTTTTTAATTTTCATCCTAGCCCCCATAAAAATCAAATGGTAGCTCCCTAAACATGGAATGTGTATAAATTTACGAGCGTTAAAAACATCATCATTGTAAAAATTAGGATGGGATATCCCTTTTGTAATAAAAATTCTACAGATACAGCCAAACTTTCTAACCAAATCTTTATATCTATGAAAGAATTTGGTTAAGGTTTTAATTAATTTGTGGTAACGAAATCCCGGCCTTTTAATTTATCAGTTATACACAAATTATGTTCATTGAAATCTAAAACCAACTACAGACACGGGCATAGCGAGCAAGTAGTCCTAAATAAAGCTCTCATATGTCCATAACGTTTGCTTTCAACGTTTTTTATCGGATATTTTTTTTTCTAAACTACCTCGGCAAAAAAAGTTTAGCCTCAATAGTATCTAATATCCGGTATGGTGACGGGCCATCAACAGACAGAGAAATGTAGGATTTC